GGTTAGGTTGTGTTTTGTTTCCAAGGCAGAAAAGGAGTATTATTAAAACATCGCAAATGCCAAAGATCAGGCTTAGATCCATCTGATACAGCACATATCTAGTCTTCCTCCCAGCACTTCCTAAGATTGTACATGGGAAGAGCGAGAAAACTACAGACAGCAGTAAATCCATGATAATTTAACCATGGGTCTGACTCTTCATAATATTTGCATCAACATTATTTACTCCAACACTCCAGCACACAGCATGCTCAGCAAAAGCCTAACATAACACACACACTGCCTAGCTGCAAACACCTGAAACATGGGCTTATACTACGCATGCTGTAAGTACAGCCTGATGCATGTGGAGAACCACAGCTGCCAGAACACATGGGAAGCAGGTCCCACACAAAGGGAAAATCTCTGTCAACCAAAGCAAAAACCTTAATTTCCTCATTTGTACCTTGATGGGTTTGGAGCAAGGCAAGCCAGTATGGCTGACCATAAACATAAACACTACCCTTTGAACAGGCTTATAGGTCTGCACATAAATGGCTCCTCTTCAGTCCAGGAGGGATCAGAGCCCTGAGGATTCTTCCCCAGAGTAAAAGGCCTGAAAATTCCCTGCCATCACCATTTCTGTGCTAAAGCAGGATGCCCGTGTCCTGTAACTGTGCATCGACAAGGCTCAGCATCTTTATTTTAAAGGTACATGGTAGCTTTCATCTGCAAGTCAATATCGGTGAGAAGGTCTGCTGGGATCCTAAATAAGTAGCAGAGCTTTTCAGACACAGCAGCATTCTGATGGCATATTAAAAACCTATGTGAATCATAAATCCCATTTCTTTAGGAATTGAGTCCCATCAGAGCACAAGGCTGAGGGGAAAATGGGCTATTCTGCATATAGCTAGGAGATGATGATGATCTATGTAGGTAAGACATCGACATTCCGTAGTGAATTTTTTGTGACTGTTGCTGCTTTTTAAACAAAAATTTAAAATAATGGCTTAGGCTTCCCTGTCACACGCCAGAGACAAAATTCTGCTACTATTAATAAAGGTGCAAACAAATTTTTGCAAGCTCTGCACAGAACTGCCTTACTCTGGCTAAAGAATAAAAATGAAAAGCAAATTTCTTACACTGCTGAAGCAAACACCTCTCCTAATGTGAGCAAGGAAAAGGCTGAAGTGTGTGTATGTGTCCACAAGAGAGTGTATGAGTATGACAAAGATTGAGTTGGTGTGTGCTGAAAAGCAGGACAGAAGAATACTTGATCTGATCCTCATGAAAGCAAGCTACAAAAGCTTGAGGGAGTCAGATTGCTGGCATGCAGGACTAGGAACATTAATCCCAGAGTGTAGGCAGTGATGGACGGCAGGTGAGCAGATGGGGAGGCAGGTTGTGAGTGCAAAGACGGTGGCTTGGAATGAGCCCAGTTTGAGCTCTGGGCAAACACAGCTCAGCAGAATAGGGGCAGCACTACCCAGGGAACCAGCCTGCAAAAGTTTACCCAGCTCACTTTCAAGATAGCAAGTTAGCCAGCATTCCTGCATGCCAACAATCTCACCCTCTTGGTCTTGCAACTTTGTCTTCTGCACTTCTCAAAACAAAAGGTTTCCAGTTTTATGCATAAGTTAGGATGTCTGATCAGCTCAGAAACTTGGACTTCATTCAGCTTGAAATCCACTGGGAACAGGACAGCCCCACTCCAAAGGTACCTGGATGCCAAGATTCCCAGACTGAAGTCCTTCTCCTTATTTCCCTGTGCACCATCCTCTCTCTCTCCTGCCTCACAGTTATTTTGGAGAGAATTATCTGCCTAGCTCTTGGACCCTGATCAGAAGCTGAGCTGGGGCCTAGCCTTTACCATCTGTCCAGGTGGCTCCTTTGCAGCAAGATATTGTCCCACGTGTCCTATATGCATCCATCAGACTCAGGTCTATGCCAGCTTGGGTCTGGGAATGAATCACTGCACTCTCCTTATTTGAAAGGCAAGCTTGTGCCAACCACTCCGTGATCCTGTAGATATGTGCTCTCCCTGAGTACTCGATACTTTCACAGTCGCCACAGCACTTGCTGGGCCCTGCAATTGTCTGCATAAGATTCACAGAACACTATCCATCCCAGTTTCTGCTGCAGAATTTTTAGAGTAAAATACAGGAACAACACTTTCTCTCATCTGCAACCTGTATTTTTAACTCCCTGTCCTATAATCCTTCACAGTGAAGTTTCAAGGGACCAACAGAAGAAGAAAAAAATCCTCTGCTTTTCTGCCACACAAAAATGAAGAAAATCTCACAATTTTTAACCTGACAAAAACATACCACAGCTGGAATGGGGAAACCCTTCTCTTTAAAAGAACCATGCAGGCCAGTCCCCTACCTCACTGTATTGCAAGAAGAGGAAACAAAAATAGAAAAGCATCTTTTTTCCTTAGCAAGTCTCTAGATGGGGACAAGTTGCTGCATATTTTCTGTGAGGAGAAAGATAAAAATCTCAGCTATTTAAGTCTGTCTGCATTTGTCTTCCACACAAAGCTGATAGCACTTTAGCACACATGCCGCGTACAACTGTATCCGCAATTAATGAGTACTTGCATCACAAGTACATTTAATAGGGAAAAGGAATCCTCTTCTACACTGTTAGAGATTTGGGGAGGGGAAGGGGTGTGAGGGGGTGGTGGTGTTGGGGGAGGGTGTGGGGAAGAAATCATGCAGCGTGCAACATTAACCAATTTACTGAAACTACCAGGACAGTTGAGCGGCACAGTGAAGACTTTAACTTGTGCAGTACTGGTGCCTTCACCTGATGCCAGCTGTGCTCCCCGCTGAGATGTGTCCAGGAGGCTGCCAAAGCTTACTGTGCGCCCTGGCCAGGGAGCAGGGCTACTCTGCTCCAGGCTGGGGTTGAATACATCCTTGGCCTTGTAAGAGACAGTGCCGCAGCAGGCAGACATCCTAGTCTAAAACAGCAGAGCCATGAGGAGAGTGAATCCAACTGCTCTCACGGTTCCTCTTGCTGTACCTTGCCTCTCGGTGCTGGTCTCCTGTCTGCCTAGCACGCAGTTTGCTCATTCACTTGCTCATGCTCGCTCATTCCTTTCCTCCCTCCCTCCAGCAGTGTCAGGGAGACAAGTGAAGGTTACTGTTCGGCATGTTTGTTTTTGCATTATTTATCTTGTAGAGGACAGAGTCAGACATCTAGAGGACAGTCTTAGGTCACATGTGAATCCTTCCAAATGGGACTCAATAGCACAACCAGTCAAGTAGAAAACAGACTTGGACAGCCCCATGGAGGGAGGCAGCATTTGGAAAGAGATGTTGTGCATCTATCTGGCCAAGGTACCTGGCAAGACCACAGGTCTGTTTGTGACTCCACCTTCCCTCATTTCTTCTCCTTCTTTTCCGAACACCTCTTAAAGTGGGTATAATCTTTTTTTTCACCCATCATTAAGAAGTTTTTCAATATTTTTACATGCTTCACATACACAGGGCTGCAAGGAACTGGGATCTCCCCTCTACCTCAATTTCTACCCCTCTCCCTGCAACACCTCCTGCAGACACCAGCTGCTCCTGGGTTAGTTGCACACATCTGAGAGTAGCCAGAAACATCTCCTACACAAAGTTCCCTTGCCCGTTCCCTCTGAGGCTGCCCTTTGGAAAGGCTGGTGCTGGAGTACCCCACAAGCAGTGCTCCTGTGGGTGGCCCTCAGCACTGTCTACTGGGGGAGCCTGGCACTCATAAAATAAGAATCCTTTGCTCACACATCTTCCAACTCTGTTTCTCTCTGACTCCTCCAGTATTTAATAATAAATAGCTATGCTATACCCCAACAGAACAGAGATTTTATGCTACTTATTTTCTCCATATTTTTCAGCACATCTAAGTCTCCCTCAATTTCTTATTGAAAATGAAATGGGGACAGTTCTGCTTATACAGCTGGAGATAGTGATCACCAGTGTACAGAGACTGACTTATCAAGCAGATTCTTAATGCCATAAAATCAATGGGTTTAGAAATTCTATTATCTTGCCTCTGATAGAACGCACCAACTAAAGAAACTTCTCGCCCTTTTTCTTTTTTTTAAAAGCATACTTAAATATAGCATTACTGCTGTCCATAAACAAGCTTTCTCCATGGTCCTCTAGTGGATATTACACCAGAGAAAAGGAACAGACAGGCTGCATGGCGAAACAGAAAGGGCAGTTTCTTTCTGGGTTCTTCCAGCTATTCTGTTACAGTGATCTGAGGCTGCTGGATCTCCAGATTTGACAGCATTTCATACCATGTAGGGTGCAGGACTCTAAGAAAATTACTTCGGCAAGAAGAAAATGCAACAAACTCAAATATGTGGCAAGTGCAAATCAGTCAAAGCTGCCTGAATGCCTAGAGGACAGCAGCAGATCCAAGTGAGTGGAGCAGGTTTGGTATGCATGTTCATAGGTCCAAACATCCAAACAAGTAAAGAGAACATGGAAAAGAATATCTGTGTGTAAAACAGAGAAGGCAGAAATTAGGAACTGGCAAATAATTGGAAATGCTTGATACCGTAGTGAAAATCAAGCAGAACATAAGAACCAAGCCAGATAAGACATAAGGAGGGAATCAGATGGGACAGAATTTAAACTGCTGCAGCAGCTGGATGGAATATTAGGGACAAATCAGACATGAAATAAAATGATACTTGGGTGAGAGCCATTCAATGTGACACAAATGACTTGTTTTTATCTTATATTCAGCCTCCAGATACTGACTAGGTAAATCTTAAAAATTTGTACTAGGTCCCTTAAATTCTCCAAAGTTGTAAACAGAACCTAATTGAAAAATAAGTTTCTCTCTTCAGTTGTCTTCTTAGATCCCCCTTTACTTCTTCCCTTCACCCACCAAAAAAAAACTCCTTCAGAAAACATAGGTGATGGCTTTGCATTTGGATAACAAATTTCCAAATCTGGAAATTAATTTTTTTTAAGTTTGGCAACCTATGGATGAAAAAACCTGAAGAAATTGTTTTCACTCACTGTGATTCAGTATTGTCATTTGCAGCCTGGGGTTGCTGAGTCCTGCCTATCTATAAGGCTGAGTGAGATGTGGTGAAGGTGCAATGTAAGTGCTGTCATCCTCCATGTCACCTGAAAGAAAATGGACTACAGATAAGTTAATGCTTGGCTGTGGGTCATATCAGTGGAGACCCATCATGCATGCTCTGAAGGGGTGTGATTTAATCATGGAATATATTCAAAAGGGAGAGGTGTTTTGACTCAATTAGCCTATCACAGTAGCACACTGCTATAAATTGTTCTCAGGCAATAAACGGCAATGGCTTATGTTGAAACACTGACTACTTTTAGCTAACGAAGGAGGTGTGAGGGTTTGAAGACTGTGGTGTTTCATGGAACAACCAAGCAATCGGCCAAGGAAGAAGACAGCGAGAGACTGATCAAGATACATTTTTTGTAGCCTCACAATCAATACGTATAGAGGCATTTTCTGCAGACAGCTTGTGGAGTACCACTTGTATGTTATTTAGCTTTGATGTGTCTTACTGCACCTACATTAAAAATGCTTTGTGATCATGAGACTCTATTTCCACTTGTCATCCAGTCATGCTAATATTTATAAAATAAAGCTTTCATTGCTGGATTGCTCTACCTGATTGCATTCAGAAGAGAGGCAGTTTGGGTGGGGGTAGACTAGAGAGAAATCCATGAACAGTTAGAATAAAAATGAGACTGCCTCTTAAGACTTAGATTTGTTCGACCAAACCAAACAAATCAAAATTGGGATCTGGACACCTTGCAGGCTTTGTAGAAACTCGGGCCCGTGTCCTCTGTGATTAAATCCATCCCCTACTCCTTCCTGGAGATATCTTCTGAGCTGAGATCTGAGGGAGAAACCAGTCCCCTTGCATGAAAAACATACAAGTTAAAAAAGGGTCTTTGAACAAGAGAATTTAAAGCAATGGACAACTTCTAAAGCAGAAGCAGTCAAACAGCAAGACCATTTGTTCCAGATATAATAACGCCTTGCCTTCCTCTCTGTTATCATCAAAAGCTTCTATGTTTGTGGGAGAAAATCTCTCCCCCACCACCAGCCCAGTCCTTCCTGCCGTGAGGTCACAGCCCTGTCTTTGCGACACAGCTGTCTGTTGCTAGGGTAGTGTTTGTGCTTTCACAAAATCAGCACAGCAATGACTTCACAAGCAAGGTCATGGAGGAGCAGATGGGCTTGGGAGGAGGGAGGGAGACAGACCCCTTGTTTAAACACAAATAGCGGTGATAATTAATTAACCAAAGTAGCAGGGGAAATTATGAAAAACATGTGAAAGGTAAATGGATTTCTGTTTAGCTGTCTTTCCCAAGAGGCTAAATGTCTCAATTGCAGAAGGGAGATCTTTACAATGAACTAATGAAACAAGGACATTTTCTCTAGTTTCTTCAAGTGGAGGCTCCTGGAAAAAAATATGAACAGAGCCTACACTTTGCCATCCTTCTGCCTTCCCTTCTCATCACCACTTGTTGACCTCAACTAAAAGATCAATATTTTCTATCAGAACATTGAGTACCTATATCTTTTCAGCATACAAGGGCTGTAGTGGGAATAGACAATTATTTAGACAGGAAGTTTATTGTTCTGCAGTAGCTTAACAGCAAACACGCTCTGTTGATAAAGGAAGCTGTTACACGTTTATTCTTCTGACTGCCAAAGCCAAAAGCTTGTCTTTGGAGTTCACCAAGGTGGTCTTTTTCTTCTTCAAACACATAAAGTTTGCATGATAAGGAATGGGCAGCCCAGCTGTGCCTCTACTTCCATCCATGCTTTTATCTTTTGCCATGGCAGTGCTGGTTCTGCTGTACACCTTCATGTTTTTGCCCAAGTCATCAGATTTAATCCAAAATATGGAAGAGCAAGTTACCCGGGTAAGATCAAGGGAATCATCTCAATATGCAAGTGAATCCATGGAATACCTCTGAAGAACTTGGACAGCATCAAGTACAAAAGTTGTTCTTTCTTCATCATCCCTTCTCTGTACTGCATTTTTGTCACACATATATGTCAATATACATTCATACATTTGAGATTTATGGGGAAAGAGAGCATCTTGTCCATATTCTCTTCATTGTTTATTCTATGAATACACAATTCTGCCTGTCACCTTTTCAATGGGAGCAGAGATATTTTAAAAAAAGAATGAAAAAATTCTATGCTTACAAGAAGGGTAGGAAACCTTACCAGAAGGTAAGGTGTTTTTGTGACTGACAGTTCTTTCATGCCAAAGAAGTTTGGAAAAGGAAAAAGCCAAGAAATGTTATTCAGACACATTAAAATTAGTTCAAGAGAACTTTTACAAGAAAAGTGATGGTCTCAGTAGGTTTTCTTCTACGTACTGGACTCTGTCAATCCAGCAACTCTATGTTTTCTACTGACACAGACATTGTCCCATCAAACATAAGCACTAGATTCACAGAACAATCATTGCTATTGAAAAGTGCCACTGGAGATAGTCTAGTCTGTCCGCTTTGTGCAGAGCAAGGTTAGCTAGAATGAGTTCCTCAGAGCCGTGTCCAATTTTTAACATCCTCTCCAGTGATGAAGATCCCATAACTCTCTGAGCAGCCTGTTCCAGTTCTTGAGCATCCTTTCAGTAAAAATAATGGGGTTTTTTCCTTCAAATAGAATTTCCTGTATTGCAATTTGGGTCCACTGCCCCTTGTACCTTCTCTGCCTATCACTGTGAAGAGTGTCTCCAGTTTTCAATTCACTCTCCTTTGCACTTATCTAGTCCATACATCACCAGCTCGTCTGTGAGAATCTTATGTCAAAAGGTGAGACAGAGTCAAAAGCTTTAAAAAGTCAAAACAAACAACATGATCAAGATCTCTGATATAATGATTCACTGAACTAATCATTGCATTATAAATCCATGCTGACTATACCAAATTACTCATGTCCTTCAAGGGTCTGGAAATGGTTTCCAGGATTATTTGCTCCATCACCTTCCCAGGAAATAAGGTGTGGTTGAGCATGCTGTAGTTCCCTATGTTTTCCTTCTTGCTTTTCTTGAAGACAGGTGACGCTCCCTTCAAGTCTTCAGGAACTTCCCCCAGTTACCAAGACCTATGGAAGTAATCTCGAGTAGCTTCACAATGACATCAGTAAAATACCTTAGTATTCATGGAAACATCTGTCAGGTTTCATGGACCTGTCTGTGTCTAATTAGTTTAAATAATCTTATACTGCTCTACCAGGGGTAAATTGCCATTGTGCCAGTTTCCCACTTCTCTCAGAGACCTGTGATTCCTGAAGGCAAACCTTCCTAGTAAAAATCAAAGTGAAGATGGCATTAAGTACTTTGGTCTTTTCCAAATCTTTTGACACCAGGTGTCTGCTCCATTCAGCAATGGTCCCACATTTTCCTACACTGACCACACAGTGTTTTTATAGAAAATGTTGCTGTCTGCAGGGTTAAATTAGCTGATACTTATTTCAAAAGGAGCCCCACCTTCTACATACCATTGTGAGCCATGCTGGTTACAGCTGTCTCTTTTATCAGCATTGCTAATACATGGTCTGGGGGTAAGTTACCGCTGCCTCCTATCAGATAATTAGTCAGTAAATCATTCAACCAACTACAAGGTATATAGCAAGGACAATGTTTCCAAACCATATTATCATCATCAGACATTTATAGTGCACTTTATCGCAAAGGATTCAGAAGATTTACATATACCCTGTAGAATAGTGACCTTTTTTTTACACCTGCTGGTAAAGTGCAGCCCTCTTACGAGGGAGGTGTCTATGTTTTTTAAAGAGTCATGTTATGGAATAAGCTTATCACAGGAAATTGTACAGATTACTTCTGTTTCTACTTGACATTTTTAAAACAGTTCAAGGAGAATAAGTGGTCTAAGGTGGAATTTTGCAAGGAGGCTGCAGCTAAAAACCAGTCTTTTCAGTTACAAGATAGTTATACCACATTACAGTAACGTGACTTTTTACAGGGGTTTGCAATTATAGTGCTAGAAAATAAAGTGGAAAATAACAGTTCTGCAATTTCTTCATGTTTCAAACTGAGCTTTTCTCTATCTCTTTGATACACTGCCATCTAAGCACAACCAAATAACGCCTTTAATTTAAGCCACATAGGCTTAATGGGACAGCTCCCATGAAGTCACCAAGAAGAAGTAAGAGCCTCAGTCCTTTTGTGGTTTTGTTAGTTTTGGTCATAAAAGGAGATGGAGCAAAATCATTGTGTGGCTCTGGTGCCTCTGCCAGTTGGATTTAATTGAGCAATACTGATCTAGTGATGAAGTGGGAACAATGCTAACATTTAATTCTTGCAGACAGGCAACATCCCTGACCAGATCTCACTTTTATGTGAAACACGTGCCCTCTTATGTCATATTACTTTAAAATCATAGAAACAGATAACCATTTATATTGAAAAAGACCTATAAGTTGATTCAGTCCAACCGTAAACCTAACACTACCAAGTTCCACTAAACTATGTCCCTAAGTGACACATCTACACATCTTTTAAATACCTTCAGGGATGATGACTCAAGCACTTCCCTGGGCAGCCCATTCCGATGCATGACAGATCTTTCAGTAAATATTTTTTTCCTGCTATACATCCTAAACTTCCCCTGGCCATTTGAGGACATTTCCTCTTGACCTATCCCTTGTTACCTGGGAGAAGAGACAGAACCCCACCTATCTACAACCTCCTTTCATGTAGTTGTAGAGAGCAATGAGGCCCCCCTGAGCCTTCCTTTCTCCAGGCTAAACACCCCCAGCTCTCTCAGCTGTTCCTCATAGGACTTGTGCTCCAGACCCTCCACCAGCTCCATTGCCCTTCTCTGGACATGCTCTAACATCGTTCTGGAAGTGAGGGGCCCAAAACAACAGACTATTTGAGATGTGGCCTCACCAGTGTCAAGTACAGGGGGAATGTCCTAGTCCTGCTGTCATTCCAGGGGAATGACAATAGTGCTGAGGAATTTCTCCTTCCCAGTAGCCAGATCTCATCCAAGTCCTGATTCCAATAGTAATCCCAGGACTCTTTTGGAAGGGAAAGATCTCCCAGGATGTAAAGGAGCTCAGTTTTGCTGCTCTGCTACAGGCTTTCTCATCTTGAGTCAGCTGCCCACACAGAAGTCATTTGACTTGCCTTATTGCAAGTAAAGTATCTTCACAAGGCTGGCAAATATGAAATAATATATCCTCTATTCTGAAGCAGTCAGGATATCCTAGGGCATCTCGAAAGGTAGCAGATGATTTCTGGTGTGTCCATGTCAGTATTTTGGTTCAGAGTGTAAACGTGCTAATGAAGTGAATCATCAGGTTATCCCCACTGCCCGAGTCTGGATTGTGGAGCTGTGTACACGGGCACAGACTGGATTTTTTTCTACTGAAAATACAATGTACATAATAGGTACTCCACCTGCTAATGGGTATTCAATTCCCAGCTAGATCAAGTTCAAAGAAACCTTCCTCAAAAGTTTTACAGTCAGATCTTCTGTCCTGATGTTTCAACTCTATAGATCTGCTTTTACAGGTCTACATAATTCCTAATGCAGATACAGACAAGTCACTAGTCCAACTCCTCATCTAGACTATCCTAATTACAAACTGGGATAACTGTTCTGGTCTAATCATGGATAAGTAAATTCAAGAATACAGGGTGCTCCAGTACTGTTGGAATCAGAGATGTGTGTGAAGGGAACAGGAACTGGAAGAATCGTCATGTAAAGAAATGCAGTCAAATCAGAGATTCAAATTTCCGTGTATGCCTGAACAGGTCCTTAACAAGGGCAAACATATTAATAGTGGCAGTCCCGCTGCTGACATCAGCATCACGACTGTGCTGCTCCCCATGCCCTCTCATGCTTCCAGTAATCTTTAATTGCAAATGACAATGTCCTTGATGTTAAAAAGAACAATATTTATTGAGAGGAGAGGTAGATTTTACCTTATGCTTACCAAAAATCATGTCTCTTTCACTGGCTTCCCTTCCCTGATCCTCATCCACTTTCCTCTTGAGATATAGCTACCCACATGCACACTTCCTCCTCGTAGAAGAAAACCTGCTATTCCCTCTAGCTTTTTGCTAGCCTAAATTGAAGTTTGCCAAGCAGAACTAATACCACGGACTTGTAGACCAGTCCCATTTCCCTTGTGTCACTATTATGTGGGAAGGCTGAATGAAGAATGGCCAACTAAATATGACTGCCAGAGCTTCTTCAGGTAAAGAGAAACCTCACTTTCTTTTGCCATTATCTTCATGTGCATCGTCATCCTCTTCTCTCCCTCCCTTTACTGTGGCAAGTCCACTGAATCACAGCTTGGAAAATGCATTTTTTCTGTCTATTTTTCGCTCTTCATCTTCTAGAGCTATAAAATTATGTTGAAGTTCATTTCTAGGATGGTATAGATCTATTTTTCCTAAAAAAGTACTATGAAATGCTCAATATATTGGGGTTTATTCCAGAGACCTCCTGAAATAAAAAGAGAGCTGCAGAATCACGGTTTCACAGCTGGGCATACAGTGTAGTATATACAAACCCTCTTTAGAAACAGGCAGTGCAAGAACACTTGTTCAATCCCACCAAACACACCCTACTAGCAGAAGGCAGAGGTGATAGCAACCAGAGAAAAAGGGCTTCTAAGGGATGCAGTAGAAGCTCCTCGGAAAAACAACATGAAAACGACACTCCAAATACCTCAATTCCTTCCTTCATCAGAAATTACATAGTGGAAGGGATGAAAGTCCTTTTGGAGGATGCCCCAGGAACAGAGGTTTCAGGTCTGTTGTGCTTGAATTTAACCTTTTTCTTCAAGAAGGAACGCTTCTCAGAGATGCTATACAGTCATTCCCATGTTTGGTGGAATGGAATAGTTC